AGGCAATGTTTCTTTCCGTGTTCTAGCGGGAGATACATTCACATTTGCACATTTGATGGAGGAAGGGGAAGGCATACCTGGGTTTTTAGGGCATTATGAGCACAGTGGAGAAGTCAAAATCGAGTTTTGTGCTTTCGTTGGGGAGCTGTGGGAAGCGTGAGCTGCGCGCAGAGGTGAATAAAGAAGAAGGGAATTTATGAATGTATCTGGCCAGGATCAAGAACAGATACGGGAAGGCAGGTGAAGGAAGTAGAGAAAGATAAAGTGGTATGGCAGAACGAAAAGTTCGTAACTTACCTTTGTTTGTGACGAAACGAGACAAGACGAGGAAGAAATCTAAGGTTTCAAGGAGAGACAAACACGAATCTGCAATCAGATTGAGCAAAGAATTAGTAGAAGAGGAGATAGGGGAAAAAAAAGGAGTGGAGAAAGAGTCGAGGGAGAAAAGAAGGGGAAAAACGAGGGTCAAAATGATGGATCTCGGTCGATTTTCGGCGTTTTAGATGATCCAAGAAGCTAACTAGAGGTGTTGGGGCACTCCGAATCTAATGGGTGCGGCAGATTTTGATACGGTCGACGGTTTGACCCATACGAACGATAAGAGTTGCGCCTCTGAGAGATTTGGAACACGGGGATGTACCTGCCCGAGTTCCAGCGGGAGATTCATTCTCATTTTGTTTGCTTGATAAGCAACACTGCTTGGGCTAATGTCTCGATTGATAGTGGTGGACATCGTTTTCCTGTGGTTAAAGGTTGCCACCTCCCTTGAGGTTGTGGCCGGGTCTCTGGTGTAGTCGGATAGTTCCTCCACAACTGGACTTATCTGAGGACATGCCCGTTTGCTCTTTGTCGAGGCAGTCTTCGAAGTTATCTTCAAAGTGCGTGCATCGAGTGAAGGACAACGATTAAAGAGGGGGAGAAGAGTTAGTAAGACGGACTTTGGAGGAACAGAGAGAGAGAGAGAGAGAGAGAGAGAGAGAGAGAGAGAGAGAGAGAGAGAGAGAGAGAGAGAGAGAGAGAGAGAGAGAGAGAGAGAGAACCGACGAGTACATACCTAGCTAAGTTAGGCTGGCACGACGAGATTGGAGACTTGCCTTCTTGGGCAACACGCATCACACCCGATTGATGGAAGTAGAGTAAAGGCCAACGGAGGGTTGGAGTTTTTCCGTTTTGTTGGTGGAAGAAGCCACCCTCTATCTTTCTGCATGAAAGGCTGAATTGGCAATGTGGAATGAACCAAAAGTCAAGTTACAGTACCAAACTGCGCAGGCTTCAGATTGCTTTTGCGGACGTTATCGGGTGGTATCGACAGTCAGACTGTAGAGAGAGTGATTGTGTGGTCACAGTCCGAAACGCTGATCAGTTCATACTTATGATAAGTGGCAGGTGCATGCCTTGATGAACGCTGAGTTCGCTGCTTCTGTTCGTCCATCAATGCGATACCTGTGCGTTTGGACGTTGTTCAACAACAACTATGTACTTTTGACTTCTAGACAGTGCCCGACTGTCTGCCTTTCGTCAAGAGTGCAATCTCAGGGTGAGGACTGGACAACTATCATTCGTGGTGCCTACAGTCATGCATCACTTCACATTTGTCGGGCTTGCTGCTGTCCATACGAAATGCGCAGACAACTGTGCAGTGTCATACACACGCCGTGTTCTCGATGAAGTTCGTTACTAAGCTCCGCCGAGCTTTTCTGTTGAAGTTTGCCAAGTCGGACTGTGCATTACTCACACAGTTGGAACGAAGCTGCAACAGGTCAGCAACAGACAGGGGACTTACTTGTTGGATTGTGTGTTGCTCACATAGAGGGAGGAGGAGCAACAGAGCAACAACAGACTGAAGACTTACCTGTTGGATTGTGCGTTGCTCACACAGTCGAAGGGACGGCAACAGATAAGCAGCGGACTGGAAACTTACTTGAGGGATGATGCGTTACTCGTCTGGTTGATGCAAGTAGCGCGAAGACCAACGGGCGACTTGGAATTTCCATGGTATATGTTGCATTGCTCATTAGATCGGTTGGAAATGAGGTCCTCCAGACTGCTCCAGTCGCCTTGCTCATTTGCCTAAGACATTAAACTGGGGTTGGAAATGAGGTCCTCCAGACTGATCCGGTCGCCTTGCTTATTTTGCCTAAGACATTGAACTGGGTTTGAAAATGATGTCCTCTAGACTGATCCGGT